TCCAACTTTCAAATAAATAAATAAATCTTTAAAAATATAATTATTTATAGGGTTGACGCTGTGATGTAGGAGGTAAAGCCCCTATCTGCAGTGCTGGCATCCCATATGGATGCTGGTTCTAGTCCTGCCTGCTCCCCTTCCGATCCAGCTCTCTATGGCCTGTGAAAGCAGTAGAAGATGGTCCAAGTCCTTGGGCTCCTGCACCCATGTGGGAGACCCAAAAGAAGCTCCTGGCTTCAGATCGGTGCAGCTCCGGCCGTTGCAGCCATTTGGGGAGTGAACCAGCGGATGGAAGACCTCTCCCTCTCTCCCTCCCTTGCTCTCTGCCTCGCTGTATCTCTGCCTTTCAAAATAAATCAATAAATAAATCTAAAGAGTTACAGAGAGAGAGGGAGAAATGTTCCATCTGCTGGTTCACTCCCTAGGTGGTCACAATGGCCAGTGCTGGTCCAAGCTGAACCCAAGAACCCAGAGGTCCATTCAGGTCTCTTACATGGGTGGCATGGGCCCAAACACATGGACCATCTTCCCGTTTTTTTCCAGGCCATTAGCAGGGAACTGTATGGAAAGTGGAGCAGCCAGGACACAAACCGATGCCCACATGAGATACAGGCGTCTCAGGCTGTGGCTTAACCTGCTATACCACAGCGCCGGCCCCCATCTTCTTATTTTTAAAAGAGAAGCCACACATCTGGATTTCCACAGGAAATCTTGAAATGTTAAAATATTGGCGACTAATTCAAAATTGAACAACAAAACCACTTAAGGGGCAAAACAAAACACATCTGTGAGCCAGATTCAGTTGTGGGCTACTAGTTTGCAATTTCAACCACACCCTTCAATTTACACCTAAAACTCTGTGTTTCCAGTTCTGCACTTTTCTCTGGGCCCCGGATTTGAAATGTCAAATGCTTGTGTGCCATCTCCACTTGAAAATAATAGCAGTCCCAAAGTAAATGGTAATTTAAATGCACCTCAAAACTATTTATCCTTACAATGTTCTTTCAGTCAACAACTGGGTAGGAAAGCCAGAGCCCTGGGATGCATCCCAGGAACTTCTTTCTCTCCACTCTTGTGCTATACAAACCAACAAATCCTATCTACAGTGCCTCCTAAATATATCTCATGCATATGTGTACTTCTCTTCATCTGTACTGCTACCAGCTAAGTTAGCTACCATCTTTTCTTAGTTACCCACAATAACCTTAATTAGGGTCAGTTGCTCCCCACAATCACTCATTTCCTTTCAAACCACTCTAATATGACCAGAATGATCTTTGAAAATGTAAATATATACAAATATATCTGTTACACTATATATAAGAAATACATATGTGTGTACATACATATATTTGTCCAAACAATTCCACTTCTGTTTGTCCTAAAAATATGTTCACACACCTGTGAGCCAGCATATCCATAGTACTGTTCATAGTAAATTATCAGAAGCAATCTAAATGTCCATCAATAGGGGAGAGGTTAAGTAATCTACAGTATATCCATATAATGAAATGCTTTACAGTCACTCAAAAGACGAGGAAGCTCTATACTGCAAAGGAAAACTTCATAGCACACTGTTAAGAGAACAGAGTGTACACTATACACTGTGTAAAGAAAGAGGAGGAAAGAACACACACTTGCATGAATGTCCACAACTGCTACGATGCACAAGACTAGCATCAGTGCTTATTCTTTTGGATGGACAGGGGGAAACGGTGGCTTCTACGGAGAGTAACACTTACAGAAGACATTCTGATTTAACAGCCTGGAAGACGGCCTGGACACCTGCCCTTGGTTAAGTTCCTAGAGTGGTTTTAATGAGCAGGTTGGCCTACACCGCTGCTGGGGATGGCCTCCGCTGCCTTCACCAGCTCATTCTGTATAGTCCCACTCGCAGTACTTTCCATGCTCCGGCCTCGCTGCCCACTTCTGTGCTTCAGAAAAGGTGCTGAGGTTTCTGCCTGAGGGCCTTCGCACGGATACCATGCCCCCAAACTTCACCTAGTACCTCCTGCTTTTCCTTCGGAGTCCACCTCAAAGGTTTCCTTCCTGAAGGTCAGGACCCCTGTTTTATGTATTGGGAGCAACCCCTGCTCCTCGGAAAATTCAATACAAGTGCAATGAGGTAACTGTATCACCGCATTGATACACTGTATCAATACAACCTTTCATCGGCTTTACACTACAAAGTTCGGGAGTACAGAGACCACATCACTTGCTTTAACCACTGTATTCTCTAACTTAGCAAAAATAAGCCTTCAGATACTTATTAAATAAATGTTGACTGCTGCTGCCCCCAAGCTTAGGATAGAAATCAACACATAAAGCAAACAACAACAATGCAGTGCAATGGTGTTAAGGCAGAAGGCAGTTTAGAACCATGGTTCTCAACTGAGGGTGATTTGGGCCCTATTTGGGAACATTTAGCAAAGGATGAAGGTGTTTTTGATCCTTACTAGTGTGTGTGGAGTGCTACTGGTGCCTGGTAAGCAGAGGTCAGGAATACTGCTAAACATCCTCTCTTGCACAAGACAGCCCTCCTCAACAAAGAATTACCTGGTCTAAAATGTCAACAGGCGCATAGTTGAGAATCCCTGTTTCAAAAGACAATAATACTCAAAAGGGTGGTCAAAGTCTACTCTCACTGCTGTGGGTTTCAAAAAAACAAAAACAAAAACCAGTGCTGGCGCTGTGGCACAGCAGGTAAAGCTACCGTCTTTGATGCCAACATCCCATACGGGTGCCAGTTCGTGTCCCAGCTGGTCCACTTCCGATCCAGCTCCCTGCTAACATGTCTGGGAAAGCAGTGGAAGATGGCCCAAGTGCTTGGGCCCCTGCACCCATGTGGGAGACCCAGAGGAAGCTCCTGGCTTTGGCCTGGCCCAGACTTGGCTGTTGTGGCTACCTGGGGAGTGGAGTGGACCAACAGATGGAAGGTATCTCTCTCTGTAACTCTGCCTTTCAAATAAAAATAAATCTTAGAAAAAGGTTAGTGTATGTGGGAGATGTCAAGAAAAGTTTGAGAGGAAGCAAAGCTTAATTTGTATATTGAAAGATGGCCAGGGTGAGACTGGTAGGAACTACGTTTGCCAGAAGTAATGAGGAGTCTCTGATGAGCTTAAAAGCAAAGTTCTGGCAGGTACTGGCTCCTCCAGTACCAATCCCCTTTATTCTCTTCTTGCTGAAACAAAACTTCCATGATCTGAGGGTGGCTGGTTTCAGCTAGACATTAAGGCCAAATTAATTCAGATCAAGATAAAGTCAAATAGCAGCTCCACTCTCCAGAATGTCTAGCTGCATTTTAAAATATGCAAATACACAGGACTTCAACTAATCTTTAACCACTTAACGTTTGGGCTGTTAGTGGATCAAGCTGTGTTTGGACCCAACAGCCAGGCTGATAAAGGCTTTTCCAAAACTTTCTGTTTTTAAAAAACTTTTTTACCTGCTTCCCCATCCTCAACTATGGATCTCCCAGATCGTATAAAAGATCCAAGTTTTGGCCAGTGCCGGCTCACTAGGCTAATCCTCCGCCTTGCGGCGCCAGCACACCGGGTTCTAGTCCCGGTTGGGGCGCCGGATTCTGTCCCGGTTGCCCCTCTTCCAGGCCAGCTCTCTGCTGTGGCCAGGGAGTGCAGTGGAAGATGGCCCAAGTCCTAGGGCCCTGCACCCCATGGGAGACCAGGAGAAGCACCTGGCTCCTGCCTTCGGATCAGTGCGGTGCGCTGGCCGCAGCGGCCATTGGAGGGTGAACCAATGGCAAAGGAAGACCTTTCTCTCTGTCTCTCTCACTGTCCACTCTGCCTGTCAAAAAAAAAAAAAAAAAAATCCAAGTTTTTCCCACAAGTATCTCACCCGCTAAGTTCTTTGGCCAGAGATGATAAAGCCATTTGGACGCAATCAATGTGATTGAGTGTAAATTAGGGGTGGACTACAGATTTCTAAAAAGGCTTCCAGGAAAAGTCACGGATACTTCTGAGAGAAGAAACTGAGATAACTGTTAGCAGATCACCAAGGGTGGGGGCAGGATCTGCGTTTCCCTACAGCACAAGCCTGCTGCCTGCTCAGCTGGGCGCCCATGCTCTGACCTAGTATGGCAATTCTTAGGGTCTCGGCACTGGGTGCTCCGTTTACAAGAAACTGAGGCCCGAGACGGAGGAAGAACAAAGAAAAATGCGTGGCAGCGAAGGTGCAGGGTATGTTTCGTACATCACCGCAGATTTGCGGAGGAACAGATGACGGAAAGCCCTACCAATCACTGATTTTTGCTTACGCGTAAAGATTCTATGTCCTGCTTTCGGACCGTTTCCTAATAAGAAAACACCTTATAATTTGCAAGCAACAATTCGTCTGCCCCTGCGTTTGCTGACCATTAAGGCTGGATAGCATTTCCCGAGCGCCAGGACCGGACACAACATGAGCGCGACGGAGTTGGGACGCAGCCTCTCTCCTGCCCGGCCAGCTGGCTTCCATCGCGAGGCCCCCCCCCCCCCCCGAGCACGCCCCTCGGGGGCGGCCGGGCTCGGTTCACCTCTGCTTCAGGTGCCCCGGCCGCCCGCCGCCCGCCGCCCCGAACTGGAGATAGTCATTTTTTGGCAATATATCCGGACGAGGGAGGGCCAGTAATAAAATGATGCCACTGCCCCAGCGGCTAATCACGTGGCACTTAGTTCTTCTAAACAGGACCTGCTTTCTCTGCCAAGCTCAAGTTCCCCGCGGGCTGCGCCGGCGACCCGGCCTCCGCGCCCCCCTCAGACCGGCCAGGGCCCGGGCCGCCCCTGCCTCCCTCCCTCACCTCCCGGGCTGCCGCGTCCGCCGCCACTCCGGACTCCCACAGCCGCGGCAGCCCCGCGCGGCCCCTCCGGACAGGCCGGTCCCCGCCCCTAGGCCCGGCCCCGCCCGCCCCGCGCCGCCCCCCACCCCGGCTCCGCCGCCCGCTCAGGCCCGGCCGGGGGCGCCCCGAGGGCTCCGGGCCGCGCGGCGGGCGTCCCCGCGCCTACCTCAGCGCCCGCTGCGCCGCCTCCGCCAGCGGCCGCCTGGGCTCCCCGTGGCGCGGGCTCTGGGACTGCGAACGCGGCGCGCGAGGAGCCGAGGCCCAGGCGCGCCCCGCCCCGCTGCCCGCCAGCCCCCTCCTCCCTCTCCTCCCCACCCTCCGCGGCGGGCTCCGCGCCTCTCCCCGACCCCGCGCCAGGCCCCGCCCCGCCCGCCGGCCCCGCCCCCGCCCCGCCTTCTCCTCCCCCCCGCCGGAGCAGGAAGGGGACCTCCAGGGGGGCCACGAGAGCCGCTGTGGCTGCCCAGGTTCGGCGGCTGGGCAGGCGCGCGATGCGCGGGGCTTACTGCTGCTTGCGGACGCGGCTTTTGGTGTGGATTTATTATTACTGTTACTGGAATCATCACTGTTCACGGTGTTTTGCCCTCCGCCAGGAGGTCGCTCGGCCCCTTTGAGAGCAGCTCTCGCCGCTGACCTGACACACTCCTGGCTACTCAGATCCTACCAGTGGCCCGCACCTGCTCCAGTTCTCGCTCAGCCCCAGAGGTTAGGTGTTTTGAAAGAGGAGATTTAAAAACAAACAAATCTGAATATAACACAAAGCCGAAGTTAGAACAGTAAATAGAGACTCCTACAAATAATTTAATAAATAAGTCAATCAATCAGGAGGTTGAAAAGCATAATGAGCACCTAAGAGCAGGGAATGGCAGGCATGTGAAGACTTAAAAATAGCCAAGGATTAAGTGGACTACCAGGGTGGGTTCTGAGCGTCCGCGCTGTCCTTCTGTCATCAGCACCCAGCACACCGGGAGACATGCACTAGGTGCTGTGCGTGTGTGTGTGTGCGTGCGTACATTATATGCAGACATACATGCATAAGTGTAAGGGCTTGTTTATGGTGCCAGTAAAGAAAAGTATGTATAGTTATCCCAGAGTTTACCGGCTGGACAGTTTGACCCAAGGGCAGTCCTTCCCATGAGTAACATGATGTGTTCTGTGAGATTCCTTGATAACTTGGAGAGAAACCGTTGTACCTTCAGCTTCATTTGTTTCCATTTTAGAGCCTTTCCACATGTATAGAATGTCTTACTGGAGGTTGACAGCAATCTGAGAAGGGAAAACGGGACAGAGGATGTGACCAAGGTCACAGTGCAATGCACACTGCAGAGGAGGGAAAGTACAGTCAGTTCTAACACACTGTCAATACTGCCGGTTATGCCAACTCCAGTTCCGGGTTTGTCTTGACAGTTTTATTGCCTGAATTCTCACATTAGGCCTCCGTTGAGCTTCTTTGCCATACGTTCTACACAATACAGCTTGAATGGACAAAGGACAGCACACTTGACTGGAAATTTGATTCAATACAGTTGAATCAGCTTCTCTGTCACACCTACTGGGAGAATTGGGGATACAGAGTTGCCAATTTCACCCCATTTACTAAGCTCCAGGCTCCATGATAGCAAAGAATATGAAATAAATAAGACTCCGTCTTCTTTGCTCTTAAGGGACTATGATCAAGGAAGGGAGACTTGGAAATAAATGAGTGTTTATTGTAATAGTAGGAAAACTTTTTTTTAAAGATTTATTTATTTTACTTGAAAGTCAGAGTTACACACAGAGAGGAGAGGCAGAGAGAGAGAGAGAGAGAGAGAGAGAGAGTCTTCCGACGCTGGTTCACGCCCTGATTGGCCGCAACAGCTGGAGCTGAGCTGATCCAAAGCCAGGAGCCAGGAGCTTCTTCTGGGTCTTCCATGCGGGTGCAGGGGCCCAAGGACTTGGGCCATCTTCTACTGCTTTCCCAGGCTGTAGCAGAGAGCTGGATCGGAAGTGGAGCAACCGGGACTCGAACCAGAGCCCATATGGGATGCCGGCACTTCAGACAAGGGCGTTAACCCACTGCACCACAGCGCCGGCCCCAGGGAAAACTTTCTGAGCACAATTGATTCTATTAGAGTTAGAGACAGGGTAGGAGAAGTCTTCTTAGAGAACATTTAAATATTTTTATTGTGAAAAACATCAAATGTTGTAAAAGTAGAAAGAATAATATAACAAACTACTCTGCAGCAACTATGTAACCCCAGCGGTTATCATCCCACAGCCAGTTTGTTCCATCTGTACTCGCAGTTTCTTTCTCTGCATTATTTCCAAGTAACTCAGAAGCAGCATACTATTTCACCCATAAATATTTCACTCTAATGCATCTCTAATGATAAGGTCTATTTTTAAGAGACAGCCACAAAATTATCAAAATAGATTTTTTTTTTATTTGCAAGGAAGAGAGAGAGAAGGGAGAGAGAGAATGTTCCCATCTGCTGTTTTCACCTTCCCAATGCCCCACAGTGGCTGGGGCTGGAAGGAGGCTGGGTTGGCACCAGAGCCAGGAACCAGGAACTCAGGTCGGGTCCTCCATGTAGGGGGCAGGTGCCACTACTTGAGTCATCACCACTTTCCCCAGAGTCTGCATTGTGGAGAAGCTGGGGTTAAGAGCTGCAGCTGGGAATCAAACCCAGGTTCTCCAATGTGAGATGTGGGTATCCTAACTTTCAAGATAAATGCCCACTCCCCAAAATAATTCTAAAAACAATCTATTGAAATCTATACAGTATTCAAATGTTCCCATTTTCTTATAAATATGTTGTGTACTTTGTTTCTTCAAGTAAGGAGCTAAACAAAGTCAAATCTCAACTTTTTGTCTTTCCTTTATAATCACAGACATTGATTGTTTGTCCTGTGGAGTTTCCCATATTCTAAATGTTCCTGATCGCATCTTTATGGTTTGTTTAACATGTGCCTCTATGCTTGTTTTTTTCCTGTAAATTGCTGGTCATTAGAAGTTTGATCCAATTTAGAAAAATACAACCCATAATGAAGAGAAAAATCAACCAACCATAACCAGATTCAGATTTCAGAACTGCCATAGTTACTAGAATTACAAGACAAGGACATTAAAACAACTACTAAACTATATTCCAAATGTTCAAAAAGTAGACAGGCAGGCATTTGGCTTTATGGTTAAGTTGCGCATATTCCATACCAGAGAGCCTGGGTTTGAGTCAGGACTCTGCTCCCAATTGCAGTTTCCTGCTAATCCAGACTCTAAGAGGCAGAAAGTGATGGTTCAAGTAGCTGGGTCCTTGCCACCCACATGGGAGACCTGGATTGAACTCCTGGCTCCTGATTTTGGTCCTGTCCAGCATTTGGGTATTTGGTGGCCAGTGTTTGGGGAGTGGATCTGCAAATAGAAGCTCTCTTCTTTCTCTCCCAAATTAAAAAAAAAAGTTAACTGAAACTGGGAAGACAGTTTTTTAAAAGATTTTATTTATTTATTTGAGAGGTAGAGTTACAGACAGAGAGGGAGAGAGAGAAAGGTCTTCCATCCACTTGCTCACTCCCCCAATGGCCCCAACTGCCAGAGCTGGGCCAATCCAATGCCAGGAGCCAGAAGCTTCTTCTGGGTCTCCCATGTGGGTGCAGGGGCCTAAGCACTTGGGCCATCTTCCACTGCCTTCTCAGGCCATAGCAGAGAGCTGGATCAGAAGTGGAGCAGCTGGGACTAGAAATGGCACCCATATGAGATGCCGGTGCTTAACCTCCTACACCACAGCACCAGCCCAAATATATATTTTTAAAATAATATATATTTAATATATATTTTTAAAAGACCCAAATTGTCCTTCTACAGATGGAGATGCAAATGCTTCAGAGGAAGACACATTGAATTGGATTAATAACAGCTTAGACATTGCCAAAGAAAAGAGTAGTGAACTTGAAATCGCATAATCAGAAATTATTCAGACTAGGGCATGGCATTTGGGCTACTGGCTAAGCTATCCACTTCCTGTATTGGAATATCTGAGTCTGATACCCAGCTCTGGCTCCTGACTCCTGCACCCTGGAGGCAGCAAGTTGTGGCACAGGACAGCTGGATCGAGTTCCTGGCTCCTGACTTTGGTTTCAGCCAGGAACCACTGCAGACATTTGGATGAGAGTTCTCTATTTGTCTATATGTCAGTCTCTCAAACAGATGAGTAATTTTAAAAATGGAGTGGAAATAATTCTTTAAAAAAGGAAACGGATTCTGTCCCGGTTGCTCCTCTTCCAGTCCAGCTCTCTGCTGTGGCCCGGGAAGGCAGTGGAGGATGGCCCAGGTCCTTGGGTCCTGCACCCGCATGGGAGACCAGGAGAAGCAGCTGGCTCCTGGCTTCGAATCAGTGCGGTGCGCTGGCCGCAGCATGCCGGCTGCGGCGGCCATTGGAGGGTGAACCAACAGTAAAGGAAGACCTTCCTCTCTCTCTCTCTCTCTCTCTCTCTCTCTCCACTGCTTGTCAAAAAAAAAAAAAAAAAAGGGAAACTATTCAAAATGAGTCATATGGAGAAGAAGATGAAAGGAGCATCAGGGAGCTGTGGGATAACTACAAGTTGTCCAATGCACGTGTGGTGCGATCTCCAAAGGAGAGGGACTTAAAACAATATCTGAAGAAGTAATAGCCAAAAGCTTCCAAAATCTCTGAAAACTGTATGTAATAGCCACTGGGTATGCTTAGAGGATGGGTTCCTCCCTCCCTCTACAGTTAACCAAATGGGTAAACACTCAAGTACCTTAAAAATGATACAGTATTTGTATATAACCTTCAATTTCAGCTGGCATATTTGAAACCACCTCTACATTACTTATAATACCCAATGCAACATAAATGCTATGTAAATAGGTATACTGTATTGTTCAGGGAATAAGGACAAGAAAACACATGTGTTCAGTACAGATTTTTCATTCTGAGTATTTGTGAGCTGTGATCGGTTGAATCTGCAGATGTGAGACCCACAGATATGGCTGTCTGACTGCACTCACAGATCTGAGAAGTTCTGTAGACTTCCTGTTTCCAGTGCAGCAGATGACAGACTTAAACCAAACCATATCAATAATCATATTAACTGTAAATGGACCAAACACCCTAAATAAAAGAGACTGGATTAAAAAAAAAAACAAGACACACAATATGCCACCTATAAGAAAAGCACTTTAAATACATAGACATAGGGGTGGGCATTATGGCAAAGTTGGTTAAGCTGCAACTTGGATTCCTGCATCCCACATCAGAGTACCTGGGATTGAGTCTCACCTCTGCTTTTCATCTAGCTTCCTGTTAGTGTGCCTGTGA